GATTTTGGGATTAGCAACTGACACGAGTTCAATGTGAAGAAAAACAAAACCCCATTGGGCGAGCGTACGTGAGCAAGCGAATACATCATGCGCATTGATTCGCCAGCGGTGTTTTCTAGGACGGGTTCCAGGTCTACTCGGGCGAGTATCCTTTCGGCGCAGACAAACCCACAGCTCCCGATGCCAAATCTCGCACTCCATGGTGGCTCCTGTGGCTCGCCCTTTGAACGGCTGCTGTTGGCTGTTCGAAACTTGCAAGGGTCGGTCTCCGCTGTTGTTGTTGTTGTTGTCTTCGCATTAAAAACCATCCCAGTCTCTCATCCAGTATCTCCTTCTGTCTCAATCTCTCCGTACTAATCCAGCACTTGACTCGGTCAATATCCGTGATCACAGGCTAACGTACCTAGAAAAAGTATACCAAAATAAAATGGACCCCAAGGGTTAGGAGAGCGACATAATACAAGAAAACAAAAGAACCAGAAACAAATAAAGAAATATATAGTGGAACGTGCGCACCACCAGCCTGGGGGTAGCCTTCCGGAAGGACCCCAAGGGTCAGCAGTACGTGCCTATAAAACAACAAAACAAACTAAAACGAAATACACCAAAGACAGACGAGGACATAAACAAACTCGCACAGAGAGAGGGATATCCGTAGAGACAGTCTGAACGCGACAGCAAACGGGGGAGAGGGCAACAGAAAACTAGTCGCTGAAATTCAACCGCAACATGTCACGTCACGCGGTCGGTCTCTTCTCGCTTGCTTCCTTCCCGCGCCGTTTCATCCCGTCCCCCTCCCGCGCCGTTGATTGGTGCCGTATCTAGACAATTTTTGGGCCCGCTGTCTCCTCGTTTGATGGCTCGTTGTCGGCTGGCCTTCTCCTCGCCCTTGTGCCAAGAGGCCATAAACCTCTCAGCTCCCTGTAGCACCCCCGCGTGCCACGGTACCCCCCCCTCCACCTTCGCCGCCTCGTCCCAGTCTGGCTTCGGGATTCCTAAGAAGCTCCGCTTGTCGGGCATGGAGCCGTGTCTGGCTTCGAACATCTCCAGGTCGTCCTTTAGGCATATCAGCTAGTTCGGCTCCGGGCTTCCCCGGCCCGGGTTCTCCCCTCCCACCAACTCGCCGAACATCAGCCATTTCGGAAGCCGCCCGTCTGGCTGTCTTGCCACCGCCCCCGCAAAGAGCAGGCGCCGTTGACGGACAGTGGCCTCCACGCTCTGGCAGCCGACCCTCTTTAGCGCCTGGGCGTATGACAGCTGCCGGTAGGTGCCTCGTTTGCGCCGGTAGCCGATGACTCGCAGGAGTAGCCGGTGGTGTGTCGTCTGCAGCATTCCGTAGTGGTTGCGGCGTGGGGACCATGTCATGCAGCCGTATAGCAGTGCCGCCACTGCCTCCACCTGGAGTAGGCGGGCCTTGAGGCGAAAGGGTGCTCCCGGTCGGTCGAAGAGCTCCTANAGCGCCTGGGCGTATGACAGCTGCCGGTAGGTGCCTCGTTCGCGCCGGTAGCCGATGACTCGCAGAAGCAGGCGGTGGTGCGTCGTCTGCAGCAGCCGGTAGTGGTCGCGGCGTGGGGACCATGTCATGCAGCCGTATAGCAGTGCCTCCACTGCCTCCGCCTGGAGCAGGCGGGCTTTGAGGCGAAACGGTGCTCCCGGTCGGTCGAAGAGCTCCGTGGCGTATCGCTTAATGCACGCCCACGCTGCTTTGCTCCTGTGGTTGATCTCTCGGGTGAGGTCGCCCTGCTCGTTGACGAGGCCGCCCAGGTATCGGAACTCGGTCGTCTGTGCGTACCTTTGCCCCGCTGCTTCGATGGTCAGCACCGGCGGTGGCGGCGGCGGCGGTCGCTGTCTCTCCTTCACCCGCATCACCAGGGTCTCCGTCTTCCTCTCCGACACCGTCAGCCCGAACTCCCGGAACACCTCCACGATAATGGTCATCATCCTCGCCAGGCCGTCGGCGGACTTCGACACAATGCCGGCATCGTCGGCATATAGCATCCCCCACACCGCCCTCCGAACTCGGTCCAGCAATGTCCTCCCCCCCCCTTCCTCCTCCTTCAGGTATACTAGGTCCCGCATGATAACCTCATCCTTGCTGAACCGTGCGACAATGACCTCGAGAGGCGCGGCGAAGAAGACGTTGAACAGCAGTGGGGAAATTGAGCACCCTTGTCGCAGTCCCTGCGTGACCGGGAACCAGTCCGATAGCTCCCCATCGTCCGTGCGGACCCGGGCCCGCATTCCGACGTGGAACTTGCGGATGACGGCGATCATCTCCCCGGGGATCCCGGCCCGGGCCAGCACCTTCCACAGTAGCTCCCGGTCCACCGAGTCATATGCCTTCTGCAGATCGATGAAGCACATGTAGAGCGGGATTCTCCTCCTCCGCCCCAGCTCCTGGAGTCGGCGCACAACGAACAGCATGCATACCGTGGATCGGCCAGGCCGGAACCCGCACTGTTCCTCCGGGAGGATTTCGTTGGCTTCGCAGAATGCGCTCAGGCGGTTGGTGATGGTCTTGGCGAGTACTTTGCCTACATGCGAGAGCAGCGAGATGCCCCTGTAGTTGTTGCAGTTCGAACGGTCACCCTTCTTGTACAGCACCTTAATGATGGCATCCTTCCACTCCTGCGGCATCTCTCCCCCATTCCACACTTCGACGAAGATGGCACGGAGGCGCTCCAGGACAATGGGCTCGTCGTCGCCGTCGACCTTGAGCAGTTCGGCGGCAAGGAGGTCGGGGCCAACCGCCTTCTAGTTCCCCAAACCTTTCGTTGCCACCTCAACCTCCTCGAGGTCTGGTACCGCCGCCAGGCGTCGGGTGGCGCGCGTCGCTGGTCGCTGCGTCACCTGTTCGACAACGTCTGGGTTCAGCTGTGCATGTACATAAAAAACGATCACACCTACGACGTAACATCGTCCGTGTACACACCCCTACATACCGTCGACAAGAGGCGCACCAACTATTGAAATATGCGGACGGGGCCTGGGGCACCCTAAAGTATGTAGCTTGGATCACGCGGGGGTGCCAAAACGCCGATACGTACCAGGAACGATAGCATACGGAAAATGAGTTTGTGTCGTGTTACATTATGTACGCAAGGCATGACGAGGCGTTGTTATGAACAATTAGGTGGGATTTATGGAGAACACACACCCTCATTTGGATCATCATTTTTTGTTTCGCGTCACTTGATGCACGTCTTTCTTTCCCGGAAATACAGGACATTCATATGCTTTGTGTTTCCCAACTACTAGGGGGTTACCTCGCGTAGCATATGGCGCGTAGAGGCGAGCGAAGTTGCCTGGACTATCTGTCGTTGATTATTTTTGGCTTGCTGACTCTTCGGGTCCATTTCCTTTGCGTTTACCTTTTTTCGGGTATGTTAGCCTTGTTGTTGTTGTTGTTGTTGTCGTTGTCTTCACATAAAAACCGTTCCGATCTCTCTCTGCTCAGTACCTTCGTATGTCCGTACTGATCTATCACTCGACGCGGTCGATTCCCTTGGTCGCAGGCTAACTTACCCTAGAAAGTACACAGACCACGGGAATCTCCCGTCAACTGTTAGACTAGTACGGAGAGAAGGTCCGGGCAGAGAGAACAGAATGGTTTGTAATGCGAAGACAACAACAACGAGAACAACAAGCAGCACTGCAGTTAACTTGTTTCTGGCTTTTTATGATCAAAACGTTGGGAATGCCCCCCACACGTGAAATTATCAACGAAGGAAAACTGGGGTTTGTGGCGCGGGATTGACCGTGGCAAGCAAGCCTGAAATTGGGGGAAGTTTCATGGCGGGGGAATGGAGAAGCAAGGGCGGTGATAATGTAGTGAAGGACGTAATTTTGCATCATCGGCAAGCAGCAATAAGAGTACACACCACGGACTAGGCAAACGGTCAGGGGTTTGGGCCTCGGATAGTTAGGTGACTGAGCGGAAAACCCTTAGTGTAATTGGCTGACGTTTCATTCCGTGCAGGCAAGAAGACCTTTAATAATGTTGTTGTTGTTGCTGTGGCTGCTGCTAGCGTTGTTGTTGTCGTGACAATAGATAATAGTACAGATGAACGGAAAAAAACATCGAAAAGGCGCATCAGCCCTGTTGTACTACACACTCTATGTCGCCTGACGCACAGCCTTCCAAATGGTCTGGTTTTGCACTGTGATTCTACTCAATTTGTCCGTCGAGGTCAGCGTGGATCGCTCTCTCGCTCTCCCCCCCTCTCTCTCTGGGCTGTGGTCCTTGAGACACCATATATGCTGCATCAAAAGATTCGTTTTGCAGAGAAAGAAAGGGCAAAAAAAAAAAAATCGTGTCTGTGACAGCTACGGCCATAAAATATCTATGTAACCTTTCATGTTGTACTGGGAAAGCCGTGGTGGAGTTTAATTACGCGGGCGTAAAAGTCCACTACGCCGGCTGCCATGCGTGGTCGCTCCACATACCAGCGAGATGACTACAGTGGTTCCTTTAGGGCGTGCAAACATATAACCCCCAGATGGAGTCAAGAGACCGGAGAAGGCAGTTGTACTGTTGGAGAGCTTGGTGCGCCCGGCGCAGTTGTAGACGGCAAAAATATATGAACCGCGCTGCGAATTTACCGGCAACGATAAAATACCGTAAACTGCCCGCGGGTGTGGTAACCCGCCGCATCTGTGATGTTCCGGAGCGTGATGGCTGTGATGTGTTGACGCTGGTGCTGTAATAGCTGTTGTGATGG